AAAGAGCTACAGCTTTGGAAATTCTTTGTCCAGTCTGCCTTGTCCTATAGCAGTGGTTCTCAACCTGTGGGCCGCGACCCTCTTGGGGTTCATAAGACCCTTTCACAAGGGTTGCCCGATTCATAACAGTAGCAAAATGACAGTGATGAAGTAGCAACAAAAATAATTTTATGGTTGCGGGGTCAACATAACATGAGGAATTGTATTAAAGGGTCACCGCATTAGGAAGGTTGAGAACCACTCTCCTATAGGGTCTCTTACAGCTGGAAATCAACTGGGCAGCAATAGGCTTGTTTGGGTTTTTATTCATTTCTTAGTACTTTGTAAAAACTTTGTGAAGAACAAAACTATCTGGCCTTTTTCTCTCTAAAATTATATATTGTTTCTACTTTGGAACTTCATTAAGTAAATGTGTTTCTCATTATAGAAGCAATAAATATTCTTACCTATACCGAAGGATAAAACCATGAAAAGTTGATCTGCTCTCTCTCATCCTTCAATCCACTCAAGTGGGTCATTTGCTTTGTAGTGGTTTTTTTATTCATATAAAAGTTTAAAATCATCAAAATCTAGACCTTCCCATGGAATAATAGGAATATAGTAAGATGAGATAAATATGGTCACTTACACTATCTTTTAGCCTTCATGGGTTGATTCTTCAATTTAACTCTTTAAACTGAAGGTACTTGCAGAAACCAAGGACAACTTGAAACGTGTGCTCATGAAGATCAAAGACGGCACCTGTCAGCATGGATGACGACTCCATGTAAAGAAAACCCAAATCCTCACAACTGGACCCACAGGTAACATCATGACAAACGGAGAAAAGATTAAAGCTGGCAAGGATTGCATCTTGCTTGGATGCATAACCAATGCTTATGGGAGTAGCGGTCAAGAAGTCGGTCAAGTTGTCTGCTGCACAAGAGCTTTTTTAAGTGTTGAAGGGGTGGGGTGTCACTTTAAAGACTAAGGTGCACCTGACTCAAACCATGGTATTTTCAATTACCTCCTAGGCATGTGGGAGTTGGACAGTGACTAGGAAATACTGCACAAGTGATGCATTTGAATTATGGTTTTGTTGTAGAATACTGAAATCACTGTAGACTACTGGGAAAGCAATGAATTTGTCTTGGGAGAAGTACAGTCAGCAGGCTCCTGGGAAGCCAGGAGGGGAGACCAGTCCCTGAAAAAGGATGACATGCTTGGGAAAGTGGAAGCTGAGTGAAAAGAGGAAGACTGTCCAGGAAATGGACTGACAATGGCTGAAACAATGGGCTCAAGCATAACAATGATTGTGGGGATGGTTCAATCCTGGACCGTGTTTTGTTCTGTTGTGCATAGATTCCCTATGAGTCAGAATTAACAGCCGTGGTCTTGGTTTTTTCTTGTTAGAATATATTTGTCAATGTGTCTGTGTCTTCCTCCCCTGATGAACATGTCAACTCCTGAGGGCAGTGTCTTTCTCTTTTTTGGTCTGCTGTGGTGTATCTCCAGGGTCTGTGGAAATGTACGCAGAGTGCACCCTCAATAATTGTTGAATGAACCAATGACTGCCGTAAGTCAACAATCCTCTGTTCCCCTAAAAAGAAGGAGGAAGGAAGAGATGTGTTTGGAATGGGGGGGTATGAGTTTAGGTTTGAATGGTATGACAAGGAGAGATCCATTGGGATTTTCATTGATGGGCACTAATGTGGGATAATGTGAAAGAAGTCATCGGGCAGAGAGAATTGTTGGTTCCCAAAGCTTAGCAAAAATTGCCTGGAAGAAGTGAAGGGAATGGGAAAAAACAGAATTCCACCGAGGAATCATACGGACTACCACCCAGCAAATGGCAGGCCGGCCGAGGGAGGCTTGCCTATGGTGGTGGCCGAGAAAGCACAACTGGAGATGATGGTGAGTGAGGACAGGCTGCGGGAGGGCATCACAGGATGCCCTGCGATGGATGGCAGATGTTCGGACTGCTCCTTCAAACCCTTTGATACTGAAAGTCAAAGCTTTCAAAACCTCTTCTCATCCTCCTTACACCTCAGGAAGCCATAGTTTCAAACACTGCAACTGATCAGAACAGTGTGGACCTGCCGCTCCGGTTGCCAAGGCTGTAATCTTTCTGAAAGCAGACTGTCTAATCCTTCTCCCTTCAAACAGCTGCTGAGTTCAGCCACAAACTTTCTGGTTCATGGCCAAGCGCTTAACCAGTGTCCCCAGAGCTCGTAAAAAGGTTCTAGGCAGTGATATGTGTACAAAGAAAAAATAGAGCAGGGCATGAGGATGGAAAATAATAAAATGAGAACCGATTACAGGGATCTACATATAACCTCCTCCCTGAGGGGAAGACAACAGAAAAGTGGGTGAAGAGAGACGTCGGACAGTGTAAGATATGACAAAATAATAATTTATAAATTATCAAGGGTTCATGAGGGAGGGGGAAGCAGGGAGGGAGGGGGGGAAATGAGGAGCTGATGCCAGGGGCTTAAGTGGAGAGCAAATGTTTTGAGAATGATGAGGGCACTGAATGTACAAATATGCTTTACACAATTGATGTATGTATGGATTGTGATAAGTTTTATGAGCCCCAATAAAATGATTTTTTTAAAAGAAAATAATAAAATGGTAAGAATAGGGTAGTACCGTATTTCAGTCAGGGTTCAAACAGGGAGACCAGATGTATCTAGCAGTGTGGTCAAAGATTTGCATCTGACTATTCACAGAAAACTAGGTCGGTGGGTTGAGCCCACTCAGGAGCCCCACAGAAGACAGACCTGACAATCTGCTTCTATAAAAATGACCGAATGCCATCCAGTTGATTCTGACTCATGGCAACCCTGTTAGATGTGTAGAAGTGCCCACGAGAGTCCCCAAGGCTAGGGTCTTCAGCGAAGCAGCCTGTCACCTCTCTGTCCCACAGAGAAACTAGTGGGCTCAGGCTGCTGGCTTTTCGGTTAGCAGAGGAGCATGTGACCAGGTGCCACCTGTAAAAATGACAGCGAAGCAAATCTATGGCGCCGCCTTTCTCGGGTCAGAATTGGCTTGAGGGCAATGGATTCTCGACTTTAACTCAGAGTCTGGCACCACTGTCCTCCAGTTTCCTAACTTAACAAATAAACAAACTCCAAGTTATCACAATTGTTCTCTCTCTCTGTTAAAAAACAAAAAACTTCATTGCCACGGAGTCCACTCCAACTCCTGGTGCCCCTACTGGATGTGCAGAACTGCCCTTATGGTTTTCTGAGCCTGTACGTTTTTACTGAAGTAGAAAGCCTCATCTTTCTCCGGAGGAGTAGCGGCTGGTGGTTTCGAACCGCTGACCCTGCCCATGTGTCACCCCTGCTAGCCCATGATTCATTTGCTATTCATAGCTGTTGCTATGAGGTGCCATGAGGTTGGTTCTGCCCGGTGGGGACCCTGTGAACAACAAAATGGAACACGGCTCTGTCCTGCACTGGCCTTGCAATGGTTGGTATGTTTGAGCCCAATGTGGCAGCCACTGTGCCAATCCTCCCTGTGGTAAGGGTCTTCCTCTTTTGTGCTGCCCCTAAACTTTACCAAACCTGATGCCTTTCTCCAGGGACTGGTTGCCCCTGAAAAGAGGCCCAAAGTATGTCAGACAAGTCACACCATCCACCTTTCCAAGGAGTGCTCTGGCTGGATTTCCTCCAAGACTGATTTGTTTGTTCTTCTGGTCGTCCACGGTATTTTCAATACTCCTCACCAGCACCAGTCACTGCATGGTACTCCCTAAAATAACTCTCCCTACATTTTCTTGTGTTCCATTCCCACCTGTCATAGTGAGTTCATTTCTACATCACTGCCAGATCTTCTTTCTGTATGCCCAGCTGTCGGGTTGCCTCTGTGCAGATCACCAT